GAACTCTGTTATTTACAAGTTTTGTTCATGCGATTAAATGGAAATATTTTGTTAAATATATGATTTCCATCTGATTTCTAATTTAATGTGTTCCAGAAATATACTGAGGAATAGCTGTTGACTCTTTGGTAGACATAACGGAATCCAGTTGCTTAACCTTTTTTTTCTCCTTTAATTTACAGCCACAGTCAAAAAACAGGACATATAATTGTCAGCTAGGGTTTTTATAAAAGGTACGTGATGATATAAGAAACAAAGTTCACTCTCATTATGCCTCTTTCATTTTACAGCGATGTTTATTCATTCCATCTTTCCGCTTGAAAAAGTTAGTAGAAAGAGAGGAAGTTCCAGGGAAATACAAATGAGAATCTTCATGAAAACAGGTTGTACTATTTTCAAAGAGTCAGTCTGAGATACAGTGCCCATTAAGGACACATGAATGTTCTTTCTAGATCTGTGGTGAAAATTGACATGGCACTTCTTTGAACCCATTATCTATTAAAAATGGAATAAACATGTAAAATAGCTGATGCTCAGAAACTTAGAGATGATGCTCTCTTGAATTTTAAAGTCTTCAAATACAGTGTTTCAAACAGAAAACCCAGTTACTTATACATTTCTCAGACTTTCTGATCCACAGAGATAACAATTTATTATGCCTTGGCATGCTGTTGCCAAACATCGCCGCAAAATTCAATCTGCAAAGCCAGGAATGGAGGATTCTTTCCTAGATAATAACAGGATTTCTTGTCTGATGTCAGAAAGGAAGAATGGGATAATAATCTGTTTTCTAAAAAAAATCCCACCGTTGTGGAATTAATGAAAACTGCCAAAAAGAACACAGGTTGCAGTCGGGAGCTTGTGGGATTACAAGAGCCTGGTAAATCCAGTGGTGATCATTGATGAGATCTTTTTCAGGAGGCTTTTCCTGCAACAGCTGGGTTTATCTGCAGTGGATTACAAACACCATATGTGTTTACCTCCTGTGCTCTAACACACTGCTTCTGATGAGGCCTAGTCTTGAATAGAAATCTACAACCTCATGGAGCTTTCATACTACCTTTAGTATAAATTCAGCACACCTACAACTAGGAAGCTCTCCACACAAAAAGGGAGGAAGGTACTCTTGATGTTCTGGTGTGGATGTAATTCAGTTACCCTTCAAAAATAAGAAAGTTATTTTGCGGTTCAGTGTCCTTCCTGTGCTGCATGCGGAAGAAAAGATTGTTGTGGACTCAGAATTATGGCCTTAATGACAGTTCATATATCTGCAGACCAATGAGCTAATCTGTAATTTCATATTTTCTTAAGCAACAGTATTGTTCCATAATGATGATTTTCCCTAAAACTGGATAGGCTGAAAAGCTATGTAAGCAGAAGTTCTAGATTACCCAAAGTTCATGAAGGTTGATACTTCTTTCCTGTTAAAAAATGATCCAACAGTACGATGTTTAGTGCATTAATAAGCCCTTGTTACTTATTATTTGTGGGTAAATAAAATAAGTAACAATGAAAAGAGAGTGAGCAAAGTAAATATTTACAGAGATAAGAAAAAAATTAAAATACATTTGTGAGAATTAAGGGAAAAAAAATCAGTAGGGAAAAAATTCCATTCACCATTGTCCTACTATAAATATTTGCCTTTGAACCAAGAGATGTAAAGTCAGAATATCTCAGCCTGAATTCAAAGAGATGCTTAAAATGTGTTTTAATCCATTCTCATTCAGCCAAACACTTAAGAATCCACTTAATGCAATGGGTCATAAATATTTGTGAACTTAAATGTGTCACACTCGGCTGAATTTTGCTGCTTTGGAAGCCAAATACCCTGCTGACTTCCTAGGTGACCTTAGATGTATTTAATTTCTCTCCCTGTGTTGGTAGCTTTATCTAGAATGAAAAACACTGCAACCTGTGAAGTTCAATTAGCCAAATTCCGGTAGATTCCGGTGCACGCAGTGCTAAGCTGAAGCTTTCCTGCAAAAACTGTTTAGAAGCCGCAGAAAGTTTGTAACGCAAAGGTAACACGCAGAGTAGTTTGTCAGGTAGGTGCTGGCTCCCCGCTGTCATTTAGAAGCACACAGTGTTTGATTCTGCCATTCCTCCTACTCCACTGCCTTTCTCACTTCTTAGAGATGGTGACAAGGAGGCTCTTCAGATGATTTCGTCTTCCATTTGGACACACTGTGTTATTCCTGACTCTGATGCTCTTGCATGGAGATATACTTGCTCAGTTGCTGCACATTGTCAAACCACTTTTGATGGTTTGTCCTGTTCTAGAGTTTGAAGTCTGCTGCAGAAATGTGATATTCAGATTTTAAATTTATTTCTTGCATGACCTGCTTACTGCTAAAAATCCAGGTGTAGTCAGCTGGGACAAATGCAGGTGAGAAATACACTGGGACAGTTGTTAACAAGACGATGTTGTAATGGTATGAGTTTTACGCTTAGCTTTTGCGCAGTTTTGCACTCTTGAAAGAGACACATCTCTTTCAAGGTCTTTATCCAGAAGATACTAACACAATCCTTCTGCATTTTCCTTCCATTTTAAAATTATTTTTGCTTAGTTTTATAGGTACTGAAAATGACACAGACAAAACACCTGTGTAATTTTCCCAGCACTGCTCTGCTGGGGCAACTGAAGGTCCAGGTGTTAGTGGGAAACTTTTACAGGCCATATAAGAACAGGGCGGGCTGGATGCAAGCTTTTCTCAGGCCCAGGGCTTGTAAAGAACCCATCTAAGGTGGGTTCTTCCTGATTTATTTTGTGGGTTTTGTTGCTTGTTTTTACTGTTACAGATTGAAACCAGATTACATGCTCTGAATTTCCTTGCAGAGCCCTCAGTGTTAGGTAGAACTGAAATTGTAATGTGAGCTAGAGAGCTGCTTGATGAACTTTTTTCTTTTCTTCCTCATTGTAATACCCTGATTCAACTACATTTCTTGTTCCAGCCATTTCATTCATAGAAACATACCTCACAATTGTATTTTTATGCCAAGCTTTGTGATGTGAAATCTACATCTACAGTAGTTTGCATATGGTGTTCTATTAAGTAATTATTGTCTTCATTCAGAAGCAGCTGAAATAATGGCTAGGCTACAGGGGCAAACCCCTTAACAATTAAAAATCAATATTTTCTGGTTGTTATCAATGCATGTAAATATTAGTTAGAATTGAAACTGTGTTGTAATCTAAATCTGCGCTTTATTTTAAGGAGAGCTATAATAATATAGTTTCTGAAATTCTCTGATAACCCAAGATGATCCAAAGGATATTTTGGAATGTAACCAATAGTTTTGGATGTTGACTGGCATAAGCAGTTTTGTAGGTGTCAGGATTGGCTCCCCAGCACATGTAAATGGGCTCAGATGTGCTGAGTTCAGCTGGGTTGGTGCATCAGCTTTGGATCTGATCTCTGCCTATCTACCTTGTTTAAACAAACTAAGCAATTGGTATGAACAGCTGGGCTTGCTCAGGTAGTATATGAAAAGGCAGCCAACTTAATAGAAAGAGTTATGTTTAACCTTGATAGTCTTTACTGCCTGTCTTCATGAAGACGTTAATGTTTACCTCATCTTTGTAGCATGGATGTTGGTGTGCACTTTTACCTATTTTGAAATTCTGCCAATATTAATTTCATTTTGTTTTAGAGCTCAAAATGTTTCTTGTGAAAATTATGAAATGTGTTAATGTAGAAACAGCGCCTCTTTAGTCAGTAGTGGCTCTATAGAAAAGAGTATTGAGACATTTGTCCTTTTTGCTGCTACCAATCAAGAGCAAACCAATGGACACTGGAACAATATTCAGGCTAACAGTCACTGGTGTGACAGGGAGGGAAGCTACTTTTTCACTTGTGTTCTGCTCTGGGAGTAACTCAGCATGGCTCTGACACCACGTTGATTACCGCTGTCTGCCTGTACTAAAGGAAATGAGCATGCATGGGCTTTGAACAAAGAAATGCTATTAGCAGTATTTCATGGGCTCACAAGAAACTTGTCTGACCTTCTCATTCTGTGGTAAGGTAGCAAGCAAAGGAGTCAGCCATTCACTCTGAAAGTGAAGCTGTGCTCTGCAGGTCATTAAAGGCAAGGTTTATTTATCTAACCCATCTTCAGCTGTGACTAACTAATTAGATCCCTAAATTCCCATATAGACACCATTTGTATTTAACAGAGTGACAAGATGACTCAGTTTACTTCTTTTTAAGAGGTTTTTGAAATTAAATTAATCATTTTTTCATATTGATATATCTCATTCTACTAGACAATACTAATAAGCAGGTAGCTAAAACTTACATAAATGTAACAAAGGATTGTAAAGGCAGGCCTCTAGACTATTGCTGCTCTGTTATAGCAGTTCTAGTGTTGGGGGGTTTATTTGTATCTGATCGAGTGAGAGTTCAAGAAAAATTTACAATGCAACAGTATTTTGATCCTGAGCCATGTGTGATGCCATGGTTATATCCTCAATTTTTTCAGGACAAAAAAAAACCCAGTCAAATTTGTGTATCAGATCACTTGTCAAGTGAAAATACTTTACTCATTGCAAACGAAAAGCAGTGTTATTCACTAACATATATAATTCAAGCAAGAACTTGAGAGGCCTAAATGTTGAAATGGCTGCATCATAAAGTCTGTATTATAAAGCAATTGGGATGTGACATTTATCTTCTCAGTAGTCTGCAGTAAAATCTTTAATCACTTCATAGTGGTGTCATGAACTTCCCTCATTTGTTAGGGATGCAATGGCCCTGTGACTGCAAAACTGCTGGTATTTTCTTTGATTCCACATAATGATTTGTTCTAGTAGCTAAAACATATCAAAGTATGCTTTGCCTTGGATGACAAAGAAGGGCCTTTTTCTGAAGACTGACACAAACTGAACAAGTGGGACAGCAAACCAGCATGTACTTGTAAGTGCAACTGCTCAGTCAGCAAAATTGAGGTTATTGAAACCTCCTTTGGCAGACCTCAACTAGAAAGGATCAGCCTTGGACTCCCACTCCCCATAAAGAAGCAAAACAGAAGAAAGACGTAAAGGAAGTCTTCTGAAGGTAAGAAGTTCATTAGCACAAAATATCTGCTGCATAAAGTAAGATTGGTCAAATGTGGAAATAATTTCTATTTTTCTATCAATTTTTCCTTCAAAGTAGATTATGCACTCTTAACGCTTGTTCCCCTTTTTCATGAACTTTTTCTTGTTCTTGAAATTGAGTAATGTAGAAAAAAATATGAGTCACCTAAGCCGCTCAAGCGTTTTTCCCTGATCTTGCAATACAAGTTCATCGAGCATAATAATTTCTAATGTATAGTGCTAAAACTTCTTTTCCATGAATATGTTGCTGTATACACACAGAGTGGTTAACCTGTTGTTGTTCAGATTTTTCCATTAAAGTTTGAAGGGTTTTTGTTATTTTCTAGGTAGCGTAGCAGGAATGCACAGGTTCTACAAATTCTGTCTCATTGTTGAACAACAATAAAAATATTCAGAAGCAGTGAAGACTTAATTCTGTGAGAGGTCTACCACCTTTAAGGTAACAAAGATGAGGTATTCCCAACTGTGCATGGCTTTGTGGCTCAGGCACATGTATGTTGTCTGTGCCCACTAGAGAAAGGGAAAGTGCCAGGAATCATCTTAATCCTGAGTTCAGCAGGGCATCTGGGAATTTCTAATTTTTCTTGGGGATTCATGAATTGGGATAATTAAAGCAGCAATTGTACTTGATTGCTCCTTCTGACCTGATGAGTGCTCACTGGTAATAACAATGTCCACAGTAGAAAAGCACATGAGTCAAAGGTAGCTTTATTTAACAACTCATTATCTAAAAGATGTGCTTATGCTAATATCTTTGGTGTTGTGTGGCCTTTTGAAGTAACTGGCTATTCTTGTTGCAGTTTATCTTACATCAGGGAGGAGCCTTAGAAAATGGAAATTCAAATCATTACAAATGAAACAAAAGCAAATGCTAGTTTCCAGGAGTATCTGATATGCTCCAGCAGCTAATGGGTATTCAGCCCATGGGGCCTGACAGGAAGTAACCCTCTCAAAATGCATAAAGGTTATGTGCTGATATATAGCATCAGCTGTTTTGCTCTAGATATCTCCATCTACTGGTTTATGGTACTGAGTAATGCAAAGCCAGCCTATGATAGTGTCCTGGGTTCAGCAGCAGCAGTCATTTTTCTCCTTCTTAGTAGCTGGTGCAGTGCTGTGGTTTTGACTTTCAGCCTTGCAACAGTGCTGATAACACCGATGTTTTTAGTTGGTGCTCAGTAATGTTTACTCTGACCAAGGACTTTCTGAGTCTCATGGTCTGCCAGGGAGGAGGGGGAGCTGGGAGGAAGCAGAGACAGGACACCTGACCCAAACTGACCAAAGAGGTATTCCATACCTCAGCACATCATGCCCACTATATAAACCTGGGGGCAGTTACCCAGAAGGGCGAGTTCACTGCGGGGTCCAGCTGGGTATCAGTCGATGGTGAGGGGTTGTATTGTTATTATTGGTGGTAGCAGCAGTGATTTGTGTTACACCTTAGTTACTGGACTGTTCTTATCTCAACCCGTGGGAGTTGCATTCTTTCGATTCTCCTCCCCATCCCTCTGGAAGCAGGGTGGGGGGAGTGAGAGGGTGGCTGCGTGGTACTAAGTTACCGGCTGGGCTTAAACCATGACAGATAGTTGGATATTCATAATAAAATTTGTATCAATTCACCTTTTGCTGTGTATTTAGGACACTATTATAGATACTAGGCATGACGATATCCTTGTCCCCAACCTTCAAAATTCTTTTAGGGGTTGGATCTGCATATATGTGTGTATGGTTATGCCAGCTATGTGTTTCCCTGGTTTAGAATGTTGACTCCATGCTACCAGCATCCTATGGAGCTCTGTCATCTCCCTAGATCCCATCCATTGTTCTCCTGCCTCCCACACTCCTGCAAGAATAGGCCTTGTCTGTGTAGAATAGTCTGTGTTTTCTTCATTATCAGATCTGCTCATTGCCCTAAATTTATTACGTGTATACAGTTTTTAAGGGGGTCCTAGTATTAGTTTCTTTTTTCACTTCCCTGCTGTATGCTGGCTTTTTTTTTTTTCTTTATATTAGGAAAAATGAGTTCAATTGTGCAGATTTATTGAGCAAGTTCAGTTGAGTGGTTTGAGCAAGACTAATTTGTTGGGGTTTGATTTTTAACATAACAGAAAGTATATTTTACCTAACTTGGACTGCCCTGATAACTGTTTAAACCACCAAAGTCAAATACTGGGAACTGTTGGCTCACCTTCTCTAGCAAGTCAAGGAATTTACAGTTATGTAGCCCACCCTGCAACTTACTCCCACTTTCCTTATGGAACAGACCTTTCTGTTTACTCTATCCCAGTAGGACCAAAAGTCCTTCTGTAGAAGCAGGGTTACTGAGATCACCATGTGAAGTCAGGTAGTATGACTAGAAAGAGCTAGAATCGATATCTTCAATTATAGTTGTGTCAGTAGGTACTGAGAATCGGGACATAGTTTCAACAGCAGAATAAAGTACTTTAAGTACAGCTTGAACAGTGCAGACCAGTATTAGGAATAAAATACAAAACCATTTTTGAAAGCTAAAGAATTACTTGGCTTTTTCTCTATTAATATTTGCATAATTCTATAAAACTATTTATGTAATGAATTGATCATTTATTTGCATGACTTAGAATACCACCCCTTTTGAACTGTTCTCTCATGTTGTTTGAAGGCGGGGGGAGGAAGGCTGGATTTCCTTGTCTTCTATTTGTCTCCTTAGAAATATGAAGCAAATACTTTGACCAAAACACACCCCCCACCCCCCAGCAGCTTCAATGCCTGACAGTAAATATCTCCTAAGCACATGTCTACAAATGCTATGCAAATTTCTGTTCTTAAGCATGTTAGGAGTGCCACTGAAATCAAGACTGCCTACTGTCTATGCCTGTGTTTTTTAAAAATAGCTGTTTAGGACTTTAAAAAGGTTTCTCAGATGTGTGTTGGATATTGCTGTAAGGGTTCTCCCCAGCCCCCAGACATCCATTGAGAAAATGTATCAATTCTAAGATTGGAATTTCTTTCTGACTGTATAAATAATCACTAAAAAAATCAACTACTGTAAGAAAAAAAGAGCCATTAATTTGTATTTTAATTTATATGTATAATTTTTTATATAGCAAGAACTAGACATTTAAATACTAACTGTGATTGAGCCTATTTAAATAATTCCAACTGGGAAAAAAACATAGCTCACTCCGCAGCAAATTAATTTTCTACATGTATAAGCTATTGTCAGGACCTATTCTTGAAAATAATCTGTTAATGAATCTGTTTGAAATTAGAGTATTTCATTAAAATGTTTCTTGACCTCAACCAGGTTTTATAGAGCTACAATCAAAGCACGCCTCTTCAACCGCTGGACTTGAGTAGCTGAGTACATTTAAAACAGTCAAAGCAAATGTATCAATCCAAAACTCTTTCACTAAACAAAACTTAAATTGGCATTTACATATATAATGACAGACAGAGTTTTTTATGTAAAATTCCTTCAACTATGACTTCCAGATTATTTAATTATGTGTCTATACTTAGAAATTAATTTACTAGTGCAAAGTCAGTGTGAAACGGCATGTGTGAAAACCTCAAGATTAGAAGCTTAGTTTAAGGCATTTTTTAGTCAAGAAATGCAGGATAATCTGTTTAACAACTGCTAGCCTGTAAATTTTGAATTATTCAAAATGTTACACAAAAATAAAAAGAAAGGATGTACACTAAATATAATTACTGTTATACAGTGAACAATACTACTCCCAACACAGAACAGGAAAAAAAGTGGTTGGAAAAAATCATGTGCTAAAATTAGATTATAACTTAGAGTGCCATTCACCCAAACAGTTTTTACAGCATTATAAAGAGAAATGTTTTTTGTAATTAGGGTGAATGAATGCATTTCTTCCAGTATACCAACTTTAACACCCTTAGAGCAACTTCTATGACAGAAAAGCTATTTAAAGGACCACTGCAATGAAGAATGACTTGCAATGTGTTGCAGTACAGAAAGGACCTCATTAATTTTTACAGGAAGAAGGAATTGGAAAGCTGAAGCTTTCAGAGGGCAAGAGTCAGCCAATGTAACAAGGAAGTCCTTATAGGAACAGTGCTGTTCACCTATTACATAGCAACCATTGCAGTTGAAATTCAAGTGACAAGTAGAGAAATGTGGAATATGTTTGTAAAATGTCCCATCCTCATAGAATTATGTTACAGAATTTATCATAAAAATGCAAAGATGCAGACAAAGCTGTCTTCACAGTGAATAATAAGCAAATACTCATTTACTAGGAGACCTTTTTTGATGGCAGTGATAGCATCATGGTAAGAATTAAATAACATCAGATTCTTTTTTTGTCACTCAAACAATAGAAATAACTTGGGAGCTTTTTTCAGGCAATACTTGGGAAACTGTGCTTTATAATTGATAGTGAAATTGTTAAGCAGTAGTAAGGATCAAGAACTGAACAGGTATTTCAGTATTTAATCTGCATTAAAAAATAGTAAAAGCCAATGACAAATTTAAATACATGATGGGTTTTGTTGAAGCTCTTTACATTTGCTGAAAATTATGCTGGATTCTCCCATTACTCTAACCACAGAAGAGACTTTGTCCATAGAGCGACAGGGGACAAGGCCTTTCAGTTTGTCTTAACACAGGATTACTGCTGTAAAGGAAGAAATTTTAAGACAATGAAAAGTATATTCTTAAAGAAATTCTGAAGGGTGAATTGTCACCCTTTCTAATTCTGACCTTTAACTATAGTATCCCCATGTATTCTCTGCTCCTTGATATTCTAACAGACTTTTTGGTGTAGCATACAACAGTCCCTATTCTCAGCAGGGGAATGAAGGGAGATTTTATGCTCTCCCATAGCTGACAGGATGTTTTATTTTAATTTTTCTTGCCTCACCAGCAGGCAGCACCCATAGGACTTGGTACCAGCATGACCTGTACAGAGGGGTTTGTGCTTCAGCAAAGAAGCAGGACTCCACACT